TCTTGTGATGTTGACTTTCAGCTAGGGCCAGGCCAACTTGATCGGCTTGAAAGACTCAGACTTTCGAGGAATCCCACAAAGTCGAGCCTGATCCAATTCTCTCGCAGGCCATTCTGCTTTGCAACGTTTTGCGTCAAATGTGAAATTAAAGGCGTTTGGTGCATCAGGGTGCATCACCTAGTTGATACACCCAGGTGCATCAACCTATAGGTGCATCAACTTATATGGGGTGCATCAAGGTGCATCAACTGAACCCCTTTCAATTTAGTATAGGTGCATCAAGGTGCATCAACTTCAAGTTGATGCACGGTTGATGCACCTGATGCACCCCTGGGAGGTGCATCAACTAGTTGATGCACTTCAAGGTCTAAAACAAAAAAATGAAAACACATTAAACAAAACTACAAACAAACAGACACAACTACTGGTGAATCTCACTGGTGGGCAGGATGAATTACTCTGAGTTGGAGGAGTTGCTCCTGGACCCAGCGGTCAAACTTGCTGAATATGATCATTGTTTGCGACATTCCTGTAATTGCAGGCGTGTGTTTCATTCGAAGCAGTCAGGGAAGCGTGTTTTGCGACTCCAAGTTGCCGGTTCCTCTTGCACTGACTATAGCTTGTTTGGGAAACGACTGGGTCAAAGCGGTCCAGCAGCACCAGCTTTCATGGTCTTGATACTTGTTTGAATGTATGTATCAGCAGCAAACTGGTTTGCTGTTTGCTTGGTTTGCTCCTAGACATTAGAGATGTCAGCGTTCTATTGACTGCGGCTGAGGACTAAATCTGTGGTGCAGGGACAGCCACAAGTGTTCATTCACGAGAATGTCAAGTCCTTCCCTATTTGTGAGTTAGAGAGACTGTTGGGTCACTGAGCAGGTTTAGTCATTTGATGTCAGTTGCCTTGACTCGACACTGTGATTGTTTCGCGAGTGACTGTTACTTGAGTGCTTGGAGTGATTGTTGGCAGTTGGCACTAGGCGACAATTACATCGTCCATCACACAATGCTGGACCCATTGCTGGCTGGGTTTCCAGTGCATAGAGAGCGTCAATATGCACTTTGCATTCACAGTTCCGAGACTTGCACGGATAATTTTGAGTTTACAACTTCAACTGCAAACTGACATTTTGAGTTGTTTGCTGCTAATACTGTACTGTGCTGTGCTTCCGGATTTCTGCAAGGACTTTCCAAAGTCTTCAGTCTTTTGCGACAGCTGCTTGTGACCGCCTGATGGCCAACCAAGATGGAGACTTGAGTTTGGATGATTTTCTGCTTGACAAGGCTTCTCAGGATGAAGTGACCATGACAAAGGACCAACAACGTTGGTTGAAGTCATATGAGAATAAGTTTCCAAACGCGAAAGTGGTTGACCTCACCCAGAACCCTGAGTTTAGGCCACGTAAGGGGGTTGATGTGATGCCAACCTTGACAACGTCGTGCGCAAGGATGTACCACATTCGGACCGGCCAGTACTTTACTGGTTTGGAGCTCGCCATGCTTCATGGGCTTCCAGTGACAGGACGTGCTGCTGGTAAACTCCGTGTGCGGACCTTCCACAGTGAGGGATGTTCAAACGCGTGTTTGTGTGGTCGAGTGGGCAATTCAATGCATATGGCATCTATCGGACTTGTGATGGCTGCTGGCGTTGTGCTGACACATTCACAACACTAGTTGCATTTAGGCATCAGAATCAGGGCCAGACCAATGCACGCCAGCATCAAGTGGGAAATAGTACGCGAACCTGCTGCTGCTGCTGCTGCTGCTCTTCATGCACTGTACCAATACTTTAGTATTTTCGCGCTAGAGTGTTGTGTCACGCTAGAGTTGCTTTGTATGTTTGATGGTGCAGTGCATTCATGATGCATTCGCAGTTTTCGTCACTCAGTTAGCTAGGTCTTCAGTATTCACTCACGCACCAATTCCTCGCCACATTAACATTGTGGTTGGTCACAATGCCGAAGTCGTCGCGAAAGAAGAGTGCAGTAGAGGAAGAAAAAGACCAAAAAGAGACATTGAAAGAAAGCGAACCTGGTTCGCCAGATAGCATATCCGTGTCCGGTAGCGGTGGCAGTGGCTCTCAATCAGGTTCAGAGCATGAGGAGAAGCACCCACCAAAAACACCACCAAGGAAACAGAATCAGAAAGCTGGCCAAGCTACAAAGTCGCCGGTTGCAGCTCCAGGCAAGTCACCAGCTGCAAGGTCAGCCAAAGGGACTCCCAGCCGACGTAGCCCGGGATCCAAATCAGCTGGAGCTGCTACACCGAAATCACTCAGGAACATTGGCAAATTGCGTCAAGCGAAGCTGTCGCCAAAGTCACCAAAGGCACCCTCGCCATCAAAGAAGGGAGGCATCATCAAAAGCAAGTTCTGCCCTGAGTTGATCAGATCATAACCTCATTGAATTGAACTGAGCCCGGCCCTGACCAAACACAAATTCAGTAGTTTAGATGGTCGCAAATGCACGCTGGTTGGGTTTGCTTAGTTCTTGCAACAAGGTGCGGTGTCTGCGTCAACATCTTTGATATATCGGACATGGTCAAGCGTGGCAAGGCATTCCAATGCAAACCATGTAACTCTGCACGTCAAGCCGTGGTTAGAGCTTACAAGAACGACAAGCGGGGCCACATTTGGAACAAGATGTCCGTGAAGGAGCAACATGCAGAAATTATGCGAAATCGAGGAAAACAACAAGGCCGTGGTCGGAAATTTCCGGTTGAAATTCAGGAGCGAGCTACATAGCTGCATAGCCAAACCATTTTTTCTTTAGAATATTCCAGTCCTAGCCTCGGTCATCAGTCCTAAGTCCCATTGTACCGTATGTCATATGTCACACATATGCAAATATGCTGCTGATACGCCTATGGAATGGTTTGCCTGAGGTAGCAGTGATTGACACGTCAACACTACAGAAAAAGAAAGATTACGTGAATGAGCGACAGTACAGATACGAAGCCAAAAAGCGCTGGGGATTGAGCAAGAAGGAGGCAAAAGAGAGATGGCAAACTTTGATGAATGACAGTAGGGTTCCAAAGGCCTATGACGAAGAAGGCTGGCTATGCATGCCAGCTCTTTCTGGAATAGCGTGGCTAGACCTAAACAGAACTGTTTCCTTATCCTTCTGGTCCATTTATATATTGCGAATTGCGAATTACTTTTTTTGGCTTAAGTTCAGCTGGGAAACAATCAACCTATGGGCATAAAGGCTGACAAGACTTATGCTATAAATATGGTGCCACCATAAGAGAAGACTTTGTTGAGGCAAATTGGAGCACGCCAACTTGCACATGAGACCCACTTGAACCAGTCCACGATCGAGAGCACCACTGAGGAAGGTGTTTTCCAGCTTGCGCAAGGCCCGGGTTAAACATTTGCTCATATTCACTCAAGCTTTAGATTGCGCAACACAGTATGCGAATGGATCCTCTCCTGGATTAGGCCTGAGAAAAGGCCAACTTCACGAAGCAACATCTTTGTTTGACAACTCCAGCCAATACCTGAGTGAATTTACAACGCATTGGATTGGAATTGAACCAATACATGCACTAGACAAACATTACCATCGCCATGCCTGCCACACCTGTGACCTGTGCCTAGGTTTTGCTGATTTCCTGGAAGCCCCATGCTTATCAATGGAAGGGGCACTCGCGAATGTGCCTGCTTCAGGTTCGGGCAAGGCCAAGTCCAAGGCTAAGGCCAAAGCAAAACCAAAGCAGAAGCGGACAACTGATGATCCCGACACAGAGTAGGGGCCCAATCGTTGTTCAATCAATCTTGTCGCTTCAGTTTCATAAGTTGTGACTGATTGTATGACCGGACTGGACCACCAACCTGTGGTGTATACAAAACAAGGCCGCCAAAAAAGCCACGCCACAAAGATGCTGAGCGTGACTTGGGGAGAATTGCAGCTTTGCGCTTGAGAAGGAGTAGAGTGGCACAGTTGGTTCTTGCCCCAGCTTCGTCAGTTTTTGAGTCATTTAGTCAAGAATCACAAAGTAACGTCACGTTTTAATTTCAACAAACAACAGCTTCCTTTTTATGAGTTTATGAGGTCCCGAAAGTCTTGGAACTTATGGACACTTTTGGGGAGCAGTTGGCCCGAGCTGAGAAATTCAAAGATCTCTCAGAGAAACTTGGTGATTTGTTTGGCTGTTTTTGGTTTTGCATATTTATTTGTCTGTGTGTGGTTGTGTCAGTTGCTGAGTGAGAAGGGGCAAAGGGTCGGGTTGGGTATGCAAATCCTCATGACGCAAATCATCCAGGAATGTGGAGTTGGTGGAGAAACAACTTCGTCGCCTTTTCAGCGTAGTGCCAGATGAATGCGCAGAAGACATTGCCAAGGCTCTTGAGCAAGCCTATGTCGATGTTGCCCAAACCAAGGGTGACAAGTCTGTGTGGGGTGCCAGGGTGAAATCTTTCGAGCACATGTTTCGCCCGAATTCTATCTCCGACTTGAAAGATTCAGAGTCAATGCAAGAGAGTCTGTCTGAGAAACGGGCAGCTGCAAGCCCAAATAGCACAAATAAGTTTAAAGATGCGTTTGTGGTTGGTGACACGCTTGATGAAAAGTCTGTGAAGAACTACGGCAAGCTGGTCGACTCCATCATCAATGCGGTGCTAGTTACTGAGGCTGGTCTTGACAGCGCAATTGAGGAGCAACAGAAAGGCATCTCATCTCAAATTCAATCTCATTTGTAAATTTTTTAAATTAATCCTCATGTGCTGTGCAGTTGCTATATAATATATATATATATATGAAAGTACGGACTCACGGACAGTACGGAATTTGGAATCTTGACTCACCTGACTGACCTAATTTGTCATCATCTGTCAATTTAAAATTCTTGCTTTTGGCTGCTTGAGTGCTTGAGGCCAGGAAGATGACAATGACGATGCTGGCTCCAAAGAGTCTGGCAGTGGCAGTGGCAGTGGCAGTGGCAGTTCTGATTCTGAGGATGAGTCGGGGAATCAGAATAATGATACTGCTACTTCTGGTGGTATGGTTGCTGCTGCTAAGAAGCTTCATGTGTTGGAGTTCCTAGAGAAAGTGGAAGCCGTGAACGTTGTCCTGGTGCCCACGTCTGCAGAACTCTTCAAAAGCACCTTTGATGTTGATTCAGTTACAGTCACAGTCACAGCTTATGGTTTCTTGTTAATAATTTTTCTCGCTTGTTTAAATACTTATTTTACTTGTTGGTTGTGCTTGAGCAGGGGGCAGGGGCGGGGGTTGTTCTAGTGTTCTGCAGCCGTGCCAGGCTCTGGTTTGGACTCGCTCAAAAAGATCTACGAGACACCTTTACTGTTTGATGGCTTTGACGTCAAGATTGCTGAGACCTCCTTGATTGACTTCAAGGAGTACATGAAACAGACAGCCCCTCTCAAGAATACTCGGCCAAAATTTTCCCGTGGAGTTACAAAGTTTTCTGATTGCTTTGCTTCAAAAAACCTGGACACAGCCGGACGAAGCCTTCTTGCGATCAAGCTTCCTGGTGAATGGCGAATTTTGTGAGGGGCAAAGCAGTGGCGTCGGCCCAGCTCTATCAGCGAAACTGGAAGAGTCCAAGTCTAGCGTTTTGTTTGACAGGATCTTTTGCCACCGGCATGCTGCTGTTCACCACAAGAACTGCACAGTGAGCGCCCTGTCTATACTCAGTGTTTTTTGTTTTCAGCTGCGGCTGCTACTGTTACATATCATTTGTCATTGATGATCAACAGATCAAGTTAATGTTCCTATTAATTTGAGGGATGTGCCAGTGTCCAGTGTCCAGTCCACTTTCATTTTTAAACCCAGTGTCAGGCCTCAACGAGCTGTTGTTGGGCAAAGCCATTGCGTGCTACGAGGGTATCTACTGTGTGGCGGGTATTGACCTGGAGAAGCTAGTGAAGCATGTCGCAGAGATCCACCCGAAGGAACGCAAGACAGTTTCTTTGCTGTACCAAACCTTCCGACAAATGGGTCATGAACGACTGCAAACACTTGGAGGGTTTATCATGCCATTGAAGCCCAAGCAGGCCATCCTTATTCCCCATGGCACCGTGATTGCTGAGCTCTCTTTGACTCCACACTCGATCATCTCGCACTGGTCTTGGGTGCTTCCGACCGTTTCTGTAGAGCCTGAAGTGCTCAGGGCAAAGATTGACCTTGCTGAGGATATGTTGGCCACTGAGCTGAAGTTGTTGGATTCGCCTGTCCCTGCCATTGAGAAGGACTTCAAAATGTCTGCAGGTTACCTTTCCAAGCTAGAGTCGCAGTTGCAAGCTGCTGGCCTGCTGCTGGAGGTATTGGAGCCTTTGAGGCCGGGCTGGCAACATCCTTTTGGCGCTTCTTTTGAATTTTGCTTTTGAATGTTCAATCAATCAATCATATCAATGACTTTACTATATATACAAATGCATCAAACAAAGTTTAGTTCTGAGCAGAGCAGAGCATGGAGCATTTTGAGCTTCTTGCTGAAGTTCAATTTGCTCAAAAGTGTTGCTGCTCACTGCTCACTGCTCAATTTGAGGAGCCCGAAGAACCAGAAGCTGGAACTTGAGGAGTTTGAGGATTTCTTCAAGACTCTGGAGGAATGTAATCTGAAGCTGAAGAAGTTTATCGACAACATTCTTGCGGACAAAAAGTTCAAGAAATCCTGCCACAAGCTCTACGAAGCAATCAGGGGACTTTGGGAAGACAAGAGCAATATGCATGATGAGGCTCTCAAAGAGAAGCTCTTCAAAACCATTTCAGGAAAACATCAGGAAGACTTGTCTGCCATGTTGCAGCCTGCAACTTACGAGCGAAGTGCTGAGCCAGGTGCTGTTGCCACTTCTGTCATTGACCTTGTGGGGGCTCTCGACATTTTGGAGTCCATCTTCAAGGCGGCTACTTCCATCCTTGAGGAGCGCAAGCAGGATCAGCAGGACCAGTCAAATCATGGGGCATCAACTGCTCCTTCGGAAGACATGATTGAGTTTGCCCTGGGAAGACTGAAGGATGGAGTCGATGTTGACGGCCTCATTCAAGAAATTGGCAACGATGAAAAGAGATCCAAGCTGCTGGTGGAGCAAGCCAAATGTCACCTTCTCAAGAAGAGCTATCAAGCTTGGGCATTACAGGCGGAGAAAAGAACGAACTTCGAAGATGGTTGGGAAGGTGTGCTGACAGTGATGGACTTTCTTCAGTGGCTGGCAAGTGAAAGTCAGAGCCAGCATCAGAATCAGAACCCGACGGCCGATGCAGATGCAGCCACTGCCGCTGCGGCTGAGGCTCAGGAATCAAAGCAGGAGGGGGGGCCGCAGCTTGAAGCAGAGCTGGAACAACACCTGGTTCTAGTTGAGACAGCCTTGGCAAAAGCATTGGATGCGGATGCGGGCTTGGATTCCGGTCTTGGTGACGGTGATTCTGGCCTGAATGGCGATGCTCAAGTGGCTCAAGTTTCAACTGTGCAACCTGATGCAGAAGCCGCCGCTGCTGAAGCCGCGGCCGCGGCCCAATCAAATCTTGATTCTGATGCTCATCGTCATCCTGGTCCTCTTCCCCCGAGTGATGCTGATGCTGCAGTTGCTCCGGAGCAACTACCCGCCTCAAGTGAAGCCGCGGCAATGGCGACGGCAACTGCAACTGAAGCTAAAGCTCCAATGTCAATGTCAACGCCACATCCTGAAGTGGCTGCACCGGAGTCACCGGATCCTGACACCACAAATGGAGCGGAAGCTGGGCAGCCAAGAGTTGCTGGACCAGGAGCATCGACGGATGATAGTGAACCTCCGGCAGATTTTGAGCCCAGTCGATTCTGGAAATGGGATGACTCAGTCCTCGCTTGTCTTTATGAAGGGCAATTCGATCAATCGATTGCAGCAGCAAAGAGCCACCCTTCATTTACTCGGTACTGGGCGGAATTGATGGCAGAACTGGCTCTTCCTCTAGATGAACAACCTGACTTTGGGGAAGTTGAAACCTCAGATCCTTTGGCGGATTTGCAAGAATTTGCAGCGTTCCTTCGGAAGCAAGACCTGTCTGGCTCTACACCAACGACTCAGACTCAGACAGTAGCTGCAGTAGCGGCAGCAAATCCAGAAAGTCAAAAACAAGCCGCCGCAGCCACAGCCAATGCTGGTGGCAATGCGGTAGTCAATGCGGTCAAGTCTGAGTCAACATCTGAGGAAGAAGTGGAGGTCAAGGGGGGCAAGAGTCGGGCCATCACAACGGATATCCCGGGCCTCCCGGGACCAAAAACAAGCGCAGTGTCAGTGTCAGTGCCAGTGCCTTTGTTTTTATCCAGTGTAAGCTTTGAACATTTGAACATTAAACTTTGATTTTGATTTTGATCGGTGATCTGTGTTTTAATTTTAGTCGACGGTTGACCAGCTTGACGGCTTGACGCAGGTGCAGCCAGCAACTATGAGCACCAAGGCAGCCATGACAGCTAGTGGTGGTGGCAAGGTTGAGACGACGGCTGCTGATAAGGAGAACCTGTTGGTCATGTCACTCACTGTCCCTGTCCCTGTCCTTTCAATTTTCAATGTCATCTTGACAAGTTGAAATGTTGATGTCGAGTCACGTCACGTCAATTTGCTTATATGTTTAATTGTTGGATCAATTTCTTTCTGCAAGTTGAGTTGAAGGACAAGGCGGACAAGGCTGACAAGGAGCTTGAATCCGTGGAGAGGGAATTGAGTGAAATGCGAGCCGGGTTCGCGACCTCCCGCCTTTCCCAAGAATCCTTGAGCGGGAAGAATGTCGTCGCTCTTCTTGGTGCCAGTTCTACCGCGAACACGTTTGCCTCAGCCCCTGGTATAGATCCTGCTGCCCGGACCGGTCGCAGTCGTGGAAAGAGACCAGGACAGAAAGCTGACGGACAGAAAGACCAAGACCAGGAGCCAAACAAGACACAGGAATCGAAGTCTAAGACTTCGAAAGAAAAAGAGACACAGGCAAAGGCAAAGGCAGCCAACAAGGCCAAGGCTAAGGCAAAGCAGACAGCGAAAAATGACCAGGGGACAGAGTCCAAGAAAAGAACTGCTTCGCCTAAGCCTAAGACTAAGACGTCCAAGCAGGCCAAGAAATGAGTGCTGCTGAGTTGATGAATGGCCGTGAGGCCGCTTGTGCCATTTTTCAAGTTCGCCTGATCACCCTCTCCGGTTTAAAGCTAGCGTGTTTGGACTGACTGAGACTTGGACCTATACTTTCAAACAAGACATGTTTTTTCATGCACAGCTGGGGGGGTCAGGGTTTGTGGCATGTAGTTAGGCCCGGCGCTTTGTGGAATAGGCAGCGCAAAAAGCGCTCAGAAAGGACTAGGGTTTGCGCGAAAAGAGCGCTGAAAACAGTCACGACCGTTGAGACTGGCTGATGGAAAATTATGCTACTTTTTGCTGGCAGAACGGTTGAGCTTCCAAGAAACGCCTTGAAAACTCTAAGTTTTTTTCAATCCATGTTCACTCTTTTTTGCGCACAAAAAACAGATGTCTTCCCCTGAGGTGACATTCTTAAGTTAGCTGAAGGGAAGCTAGCCGTATTTAACATGCTCACGATATAGCATACACTGCGTGACACAAAACCCACATAGTGGTTGTGGTGGAACTTGTGGTTGTGGCACTGGTGGCTAGCGTGGTGGACTTGTTGTGTTGCGGTTGTTGTTGTGGTTGTTGGTGTTGTTGTTGCGGTTGTGCTTGTGGTGGTGGTGGTGGTGGTGGTGGTGG